TGGCTCAGCCTCGCCACCGGCAACCAGCGCTTGGAACATACGGAGCCCACGCTCAGCAGCCACGCTTACGGGGTGGGTGAAGCGGCCCCGGGAGCTCTGGGCACCGCGCGGGGGTTTGGCACCTTTGAGAACACGAGGAGCCGCTTTTCTGAGCGGCGAGTGCTGGCCAGGGCCCAGACGCGTGGCAGCAGCGGGCGAGCACCCCCGACGCCTCCTGCGCTGCCAGGAAATGCTCTGTGTGCCAAGGTGGGGTATCCCGATCTTCAGCGGGACAGGATTAAGGAAAGGTGGAAAGTCAGTGTGACACCCAACCAATCAGGAGAAAGACACTGCCAGGTTTTTCAATATTAAACCTTTATTATATACAAAAATATTTTGTTGGGAATTAACAGAATTTCACAATTTGTACATTAACATTTTTAGTTTGGCTGCGTTTACTGTGAAAGTGTCAGCTCTGAGAAGGACAACGGGGGCTTTGGAAAGCCAGTCACTGCGCTCAAGTGCCCGATGCGCGGGCAGCAGGGGGCTGGCCAGGCCCGCTCCGCAGGACCGAGTCCAGGGACAGCAGCTGGGTGCTCTTACACACTCACCGACTGGTTTGGGTTGGAAGGGACCTTAAAGACCATCTAGTTCCAACCCCCCTGCCGTGGGCAGGGACACCTTCCACTAGACCAGGTTGCTCAAAGCCTCATCCAGCCTGGCCTTGAACACTTACAGGGATGGGGCATCCACAGCTTCTCTGGGCAACCTGTGCCAGTGCTCAGTCTTTGGCCCACACAAAGTTCAGCTCACAGTTCAGTCTGGCTCTGTAGGATTTTTTTCAGCTACAGAAAGAACTTGGTTATCTTTTTTTTACAGAAGAGCAGTTTTTGAAGTTTCCAGTCTAACTCGGGCTGCTGTAGAAGGGAAAAGCACGAGAGCTTCCGTAGGCGAGCGCAGCGTGAGGACAGCAGGGTAAGGAGACGCCTGGCAACAGACTGTAACTAACACACGCTTCAATCTGAACTCGTAGCCGGGATTTTACAGTTCGTGGCCCAGTTTGGGGTGGGAGAACAGCAGACGTGCTTGTACTCCAAAACCTAAGGAAGTGGTTCCCCTTCTTAGGCCACAGCACACACTGCCCCCAGGCCGTGCCCAGCGAGGGAGCGGGAGGGATGCTCAATGTGCATCTTCAAAGGGGGGAAAATACATTCCAACGGCTATCTCCATCTGGAACCGTGGGATGGACCTAAACCAGCAAAAATCAGTCCAAACTGTATTTTCCTGTAGCCGCCAACCTTGCTGCCAGCCCGGATACGGAGCAGCGCCGTTCCCTTTGCGCTGCAGCAGGGATCGCGTACGAGAGGTCCCCCAGGTTTCGGAAGAGGTTCTGCTGCGCGCGGGGCGAGGCTGGGTCGGCCGCGGGACAGCTGGGCTCATGGGGGCCGGTGTTGGCACAGGGCTCCTGGCCGTCACGGGGAAAGGCCAAGTGGGAGAAGGTGTGCCTGGGAGTGCAGCAGCCTTGCACACGGAGCTCCAGCCCCCGGCAGCATGGGAAAGGGCTAGAATTCTGAGACCCCCGTTCACATCCACTCCAGGCGTGACCATCGCACACCAACGCTGCCACCTCCCCGCGTCAAATTTACTCCAGGGGGAGGCGAGGCTGCCGCGCTCCCAGCCGGAGGGAGTTGCACGCCCCTGCTGTGACCTCCGGCCGCCGCACCAGCACGTGCCCCCAGCACGCAGCAGTTTGGGATGGGACAGCTCGGGGGGGAGCACCCCACGGCGGAGCAGTCGGGGAGAGGGGCAGGTGCTGCCCGCGGAACTTACCCCGCGCCCTGGCTGTACATCTGGGTGTGGCAGCAGGGTAGTACACTCGGAAGCCACAGCTGCCTCTGCAAATTGGTTGTTTTACATGTGTTTTCACTTTTTTTTAACAATTAGTGGGTTTTTGTGGTGTTGGTGCTTTTTTCCCCCTATTGTTTTGGGATTTTGTTACTTCCATATCCGCCTTGGGCCTGAAACCAGTAAGCTCTACCAGACTTCAGTACCGATCTTTATACTGACCCCTCGTCCTTCCCCATGACACAAGCCGAGAATTCCAGACAGTTCCCATCAGTCACCTTGTTAAATGCAATGAAAACCAAGAAAAAAGCAGCCTAGCAAAAAATAAAGTGGGCCGGGACTTCCCCCTGCTTTTCCCTCCCCAGAAAGCAGATGGGAGGCCCCTCCCGCCCACAGCGACCCTACGGAGGGCCCAGGAGGGCCCAGGAGAGCAGCAGCGGGAGGGGTGATAAAGGCGAGAGCCCGGTCTGGGTGAGGCACCAGGACTCGGGGGGGGCCTGGGTGGGAACCAAGGACAGGTAGAGGCGCGGGAATCTGCTCCCGCTGGCAGTACCGGCGCCCGCGTCAGGACAGGAATAGCACACGCAGCTCCTGAGCCCTGGAGCGGCGATCGCTATCCGTGGGGCCGTGCTTGTGTGGGGCAGGCTTGGCTCCCAAGGTCGCCCTGTGCCTCCAAGTGAAAAAGGTTTCCCGTTTCTTTTCTGAATCGCCCACCTCAAAACCAAACCAGCCCCCGACGACTGCCTGAACCCGAGCTGCAGGGAAGGCATGCAGCAGGCCCAGTCTCACCTCCAGCTGAGAGTGGTCAGAGAGACCTTTACGTGTCTGTGCAAGAACATCCCCCCCAACACACGGCAATTATCACCTTGACTGCATCGTGTCAGCCCCGTGACGCAGACCTGACAGCGTAGCGTTCCGGGAGGGCACGGTCATCCCTCAGGCACGCACGCGCCGGAGCGTTTAGGCTGAAGGTGAGACTGGAGCGCGTTGCTTCAGGAAAGACCGTGTGGGGCATGGCGCCTGTCAGTTTAGCTCCCACCTGCCCTTCACGGGGCTGC